CTGTTGATTCCTCCTGAAATAATTTCTAAAGCAGACTGATGTCACACATCAAAACGAAAACAACTTATGTGCTTTATAATTTTGTTCTGTGAGAACTTTGTGATGTCTCCTTAAACTGCTTTGCTCTCTTGTTTTTCCTAAAACGTTTCTTCTGCAGTCTTAAGCTGGCAAAGTAGCAGGTGTTACCTCGAATGGTCACACCAGCAAAAATGTTCTATGATTTACAGTCTGTGCAAAAAAATCCAGATTCTTCTGTAAAAACCGTACATTGAATTGACAACAAGGTTTCAGTTATGTGACCGATGTACATTTGAGGTAAAGAGACAGCATTTGGCACCTTGGGTCCTCCTGGTGCTCCGACACTGTTTTTGTTTCTTCTTTAAAAATTGGGCCTGAAGTTTTGTGAACACTTCTATGTAAAACACTTGGGCCAGGTACTTCTACTGGCGTGGCACAAACTGTTATGTACAACAGGATTAAAGAAATCATTCCATCATGTACAGCAGGACATAGAAGCCAATCGGAGCAGTAAGCCCTATGTTGTATTCGGGTTGACCATGTAGTGATCCTTCACTTTGGCGAACTAGTGCTCAGAATAGACTCTCGATGTTTGTAAAGAATATAGAGGCAGTGGCGTAGTCACGATTTTATTTCGGGGGGGGGGGGGGGGGGGGGGGGGGGTTCAACAGCAGTATTTACCCCCCCCCCCCCAGTGACGAAGCAGGGTGAACTCGGTGGTACAGACGCTCACACAAAGATTAGGGAGGCGCCGTTAAGAAACAATGAGTAAAGCTGCAGTGTCATTTTTCAAATTGGAGCAGGCTTCATTTAGAGGAATACGGGCATGGTGGCTCACTGTTCTACTGTCGTCATAGTTGCAGCCCATCAACTTTAAAAGCTTGCTCACAGCACACAACTCCTGCTTTTTGAGGTACCACTGCCTTACCAACGCGTGCCGGCCAGACAAAATAAAAGGATAACCATACTATCGCAAAAAATTAAACAGCAACACACGCACAAACGAAAAATTTCGACGCTGAAAAATCAGATTAAGCGTTCGCCCACAAACACTAGGCAATATTCTAAGCCGCCATTAAAATGGTCGAGACAGCAGAAGTTGAGTTTCAGATGCCGCGTGTAACAAGTTGGCAACGTCACCGCTTTAGCATTCCTGCTGGAAGCACAAGAGAGCATTTCAAGTGCTCCGTGTTCCTTGCTTTTATGGACTACCTGATGACACAGTTAGATGGAAGATTTAAAAAGAGCCGGCGTACATTGCAATTACTTTCATCGCTTCGGCCTGCAAAGATCTTGGAAAGCTGAGCAGCTCCTGGCACTGAAGAGTTTTTACAGCTCTATTCAGGCCTGATTTCAGTTCCTGTATTCCAAAGCGAGCTGTTCATATGGGCTGCCAAATGCAAGAAAGAGAAACGTGAAATGCCCATCACGTCTGCGCTACAGGTGGTCGCCCTCTGTCCGGAGGCTCTATTCGCAAACGTCCACTGTCTCCTCGAGATCCTATCGACTCTGCCCGTAACAACAGCGGAAGCTGAGCTCTCGTTCTCTCCACTACAACGGTTGAAAACATACCTGAAAGCGTCCACTTCGATTGAATGACCATTTGGTCTAGCGCTTTTGAATGTTTACCGTGACATTGAAGTTCATCGTGGATATTATATTCCGTGAACGCAGGCGGTTGCATTTTAATGTGTAGGCGCTTGGCATAAATGAAATGATCAAGAGAGTCTGTAAATTGCTTTCTGAAATAACTAGTCACAGTTAATTTTTTATTCATGGTAATTTCTAGTGAAAAGCACGTAATTCTGATCATTACTCAAGGTGTACGTGAGTGCAGCACCACCCATCGCTTACAGTGCAGTTGTTCTTACAAATCATTTATTATTACTTACATCACTGACATTGTTTTATATTATCACCATCTGTTCGTTTTATTGTGTTTGCTTTGGTTTGATTGAACTGTGTATTTTAGTGAGGATAGTTTGTTATACTTGGCCTTGAAATTGCCATCCTTCACCCCACAAATGTATAGAAATATTCATTTTCTATATATCTGAGATCAAGTTCCGCATCCCATCAAATAAATATGAATGAAGAAATGGTGCCTATTTTATTAGGGGAGCAAGCAGGCCCCTGGGGGGGGGGGGGGGGGTTGACCCCTTAAACTCCCCGTCCCCCCCCTCTGCCTACGCCAATGTATACAGTGTACCGGTTTCTGTTTACACGTGCTGACTTTTTATAAAAGGATAACATTTGTGAAGCTCAAATTTTTCTTTCTCCTCGACTACTTATGGTACTTTTTTTCCCTGGAATGTTGCATGTCTGCAACATGTTTGTTGAGAGCCGCTAAAAAAGGCTCTAATTAAAGCCAACAAAACAAGGATTATCTCAAGGGAATGAAAAATCCACTTACCTGGTCTCACAGTAGGTATAGCAGAAGCTTCACTGGTTTTAAGTAGCAAAATGGGGAAAACAGAAATGGGAAGATATTAGCAACTGAACATGTCATGGGAGATTCATAATGATGTCGCTGTGAGATAAGGGCATAACCACCAGCTTACCACGGCCAGCTTTTGTTTCGTGGTCTCTTTAGTACTTGTAATGTCCTTGCCATCTCTGGCTTCTATGCCTCCTCATTGTGGTAGGTTTGCCTTGCTGCATACCCGACTTGGAGGAATAACACGGAGCCAACGGTTTCAACAACAAGAAACTACATTTAATGGGACATGGACGAGATGATTAACATGGTTACCAGCGGCGCCTGAGTCCAGGCAGCGACTCCCCGTGTGCCGCCTCTGATCTGCCTTATCAAGGCGGCGCATCCGATGTGCGCGTGGCTGGCGTGACGTCGCCGCCACGCGGGATAAGTTCGGCACTTTTGCCTCGCAGTCGGGCAACTGGGCTGGGAAACCGCCAGGGTGCCCACACTGAATAGGCTCTGCTTGCAGAGCCAGAGTATCGCGTTCCTTTTCCTTTCGCCGCCAACTCCGTATTGGCAGAGAAGCGGCCACGTGCATTGAGCTGAACCCGACCTTTGTGCAGGAAAGCGACCTCGCGGGCGCCGATTTTCTGGCAAATAATGTTTCTCGCTTTGCATTTGCGAAATATACATCCTACACTAAAATAGAACAAACTGGAAGGTTCCTTGACCATTCAATATTATCTGTTACCACTTACTACAGTATGATCACATTGTTTTATAATGCGGGCAATGTTTTAAAACATGTTTTCGAAGTCTGGGAAGAAGGCGACACAGAGGACGACTGCATAGCTCGCGCATCCGGGGCTCTTGCAGAAACGACGGTCGCTTCTTGCAGTGCGGCCTTGGATCCAACATGGCTGCCCTGGAAGGGCCATTGCGGCACTGTGCTCCGCAAGGCGGAGCATATACAGTTGAGGCCCGTTCATACACTTGCGACTTCTTAAGACCGAGTGCCTTGGAACCTCTTAAGACCTCTTACGATGAGAGGGCACACCGGCACCATCTATTGAGTAGCGGTGGAAACTTGGCGGTACCGCATATTTTCTATTTCTCGCGCATCATCCTTTCTTTTTTGGCTAGAAAAACTTTTGTCAACATTATAAACAGCCATTTCTCATAGGTATTACGCACATTTGACCTCGGAAATCCCGCAAAACCTTCGCTCTAATGAAATGCAGTTCCAGGGTCACCGCATAGATGGCACTAGCGTGCCAGTGTGTTCTCTTGTCCTCAAAAATTTTCTAAAGGCACTCGGTTCTAAGGGGTCACAAGTGTGTGAACGGGCCTTTTTTTCTAGTCCAAATCAGTCTTCAGCCCTTTATCGTGAAGGCTTGTTCACATACTTTCGACCTCTTAGAGCCGAGTGCCTTGGAACCTCTTAGTATCTCTTACGACAAGAGGACACATTGGCGCCATCTATTGGGGAACAGCATATACTTGGCGGTCCGGCATATTTCTTTATTTCTCTCACGCATTATCCTTTCTCTCTTGGCTCGAAAAACTTTTGTTAATGTTATAAATGAGCCTTTCTCATTGGTGTTACGCACATTTGACCTCGGAAATCCTGCAAAACCTTCGCTCTTGTAAAATGCAGTTCCAGGGTCACCGCATAGAGGGCGCCAGCGTGTTCCCTCGTCCTAAGAAATTTTAAGAGGTTTCTTCAGGTCTCGTCTTTGGTCGTACTCTGTTGCAAGTGTGTGAACGGGCCTTAATAATCCAGAAGGTTAGCCCAACCGCCACACAGGCCAAAATGAGCGATAAAAGGGTGTGGTCTATTTTTCAACATAAATCCCGAGAAATTTCCAAAAAAATGTTTGACTTTGTTTCTAACCCATTCATGTTTACTTCAGCTACCCCTAGACCCAAACAGGGGTGTCATATTATTTTAAAGACAAAAGAAGAACTTTGTTTGTTCACTAATCTTCTAAATTGGCAAAGGAACAGCCATTGCATGGTGATGTCGAAATTGAGGTTTTCTATTCTGTTGTATGACTTGTCTCATCCCACGTAACATGACCTCTAAGGGTGGCCTATATTATATTTTGGTGTGTTTTTCTAGAATGGTAAATTGCACAGAAATCGGGGTGTGTTATCTCTCAGGGCTTTACGGCAGAGAATGAACTCGTGCCTATCTAAAGCTTTCCACGAGACCTTTCGGGTGTTCCTGCCCTGTCTGGCTTTGCCGGTCTCTCGCTTTGGCTCTATTTAATCAACATTCATCAACTTCTTTATATTTCCAGGTTTTTATTACGCACTCTTATATTGCTTGTTTAGTATAGAGTAAGCATAATTTAAACCTAGCGGTTTCAATAGGAAATGGGCGCATATTGAATGCTGTTTCACAGTAATCACCTAATCAAACAGTTCACCTTATTCAAATGTCGTAAGCAGGAGAGAAGAGTGTCCGGATGAACGAATCATAACTATATCGTTCTGCTTTCTTTTGGATGCTGAATTGAGCTATAATCTGGTGATCTTTTGTTTCTCTTTTTTGTTTCAGAGCAGCAAGGCATGGATTAAAGATGAGCGGTAAATTGAAGCGACTAGAAGAGCAAGAAGCACAGCTTTTGTGCGGCCCTAACACGAAGAAGTGCAGACCGTCGAACAAGAGCACCGACCCAGCAGAAGAATCCACTGTCAGGACAATGGGCGACAATGCGGGGGAGGATGCCCATGACACATGTAGGCGTTCAAAATCCCGTAAGAAGAGAGGAGAACTGCGGAGTGTAGAAAAGCTAAGAAGAAAAACTCTGAATGTATAAATTCTTTCTCCCCTTTCCTGTTGACTTGGTCCTCATGGAAATATAAAAATTGTTGGTTGTGTTTGGGAAGGTTTAAGTTTTCAAATCTAGTTTGGCCGGGACAGACATGGTAAGAAAACAGCAGAGTTTAAGCTTCCTTGCAACTTTATTGTGTGCACTCATCTCTGTTTACCTAATGCAAGCTTTGCTATAGCCACACTGGATATCGTTCATCGTTGATGGAGCACTCGTCAAATGAGGTAGCACCATAAAATGGACAGTGGTCACCTCAACTTTGTTCCAGCTGAAATGGTGTTACTCTGCAGCATGAATGCCCTGCATCTTCCACCACCATGCCTGCTGGAGTCACTGTTACAGTAAATCAGTGTCTGTCTTTCCTTTACGGCAGTCAAGAAACTTGTTCTTGTTGGATTATACTTCTCTTGCCTTTTACGGCCATGCACATCATGACGATATTACTCTGACGTGACATTGCCAAAATAGCCTCAACATGGAATTCTCGGAGACCTTGCCTTTTAGCTGCACATTTGGGCGAGATACTTCAGCATGCATGTTGCCTCGGAATACAGGTACGTATTACTTACCCTCAGTATGTCTCATAAACTTACGAGTGTATGTCTCGTTAATACGGACCTAATATGGGTTGAACTGGGTAAATGCCAGGCTTGGACGGTACTTATTACAAGTAATCAAATTACTTGTAATCTATTCGTGCCTACGGCACTGGTGTATCCCTTTACGCTTTGCCGTTTAAGGCGAATATTGTGGTTTTAGCGGTGCCCAAGCGTATCCATCCGGCCATTTGTACTTTTTTTTATTTGTATATGAAAGACACGCTTCCTCAGTCACGGGTAGTGCGACAGTATGAACGCGAAATAAACGAAACACAGCTGTCCAACAGAAGAGTTTCCTGCCTTCAAAATCGCTGTACGTGGCGGAGGGAATGCCGAAGACGGGGTGATTGCTTTTATGTTTTTGTTTACAAACGAAGGGGAGTCGTCGTGGCTTCAGCGGAGCAAGAGGGGGCCCGAGATACGTACGCTTACGTACACGCCTTCGGGGAACGCGTTGTCGCGCCGAGGAAAAACAGCTGATTGCCAAGCGCACGTGACCGCCTGGTCGACGCTGTTGCTACGCGTTGTGCGACTGGTCGGCGCATCGCGGCCGCAATTGGCTGGCACGGCGCCAGTCACGTGGCCATGCGACCTCTAGCGTGCGAGTTGGATCAGCTGTCTGCTCTCCGCTGTTCGCTTGTGCTGCAGCAGGCAGTGCCGAAGAAGTGGTTGTTGTGGTGTGACATGCCGAGCGGTTTTCGAAAACTTTTCGGTGTGGATTTTGTGTTGACGTCGAGGTCGAAACGTGGCGGACACTTGGAACTGTGATGGTTGCTGGCAAACGCTGCGAGGGACTCGAGGTAAGCGTATCGGTGTCTCCGAACGCTGCTCTCGCAGTGTTGCATAGGCCTAAAACCGACGACGTCTGTCCGCTAGCTGTTTGTTACGCATTCGTGCAATTGTACCTGTGCGTATTGTTCCGAAAGCTATCTTATTGTACTAAGCGATCTTTCCGATGCTTACGCAGAGGCAGTATCGCGATGGTTTTACGGCTGCGCGATCGTTGGCAGGTTTGTTTTTGTGTGACCTTTGACGACAGCTATGCTGATGCAGGGCTCTGCGACAGCTGTGAAATCGGCTGAATGCATCTGTGTACACTTTTAAAGGCACACAGCATACACTGCGCATTTTGCTCGTGATGTGTGCAGTTAGGAGTGCATGTTATCGGTCGACTCCTAGGCTTAGCGTTTCTGACGCCAACCCGAACACCTTAAAAAGTGCCAAGTGTGCGTCTCTTCTCGTCTGCTAGTACGATCGTCTGCAGAAAAAGTGCAAACCAGAAGTTGTGAATGGTGCAGCTGCTGTAACGCGGTCGTGTCATGTTCACCCGTGTCTTTCGGAGGTGTGTCTCGCCTTTTCTTCCAACCGCTGCGACCAAGCCGCAATGCGGCTTGCTCGCTCCTCAACCTCGGCTGCAATCGGTCACAGCTTGCACGGTCTTGACGAGGGTCTTATTGTTCCTCGCTTACGTGCGCACTTGACGAGCCCCTAAAACTCCCTTAATGCTGAAAAAAAAATAAAAAAAAATATGAGACCTTGTTTGAGCATACAGGCCGAAAAGCAGAAAGGAAAAACGGCCAGGAAACGAACTCCTCGGCAGGTTGGTGGCGTGCTCTTTGCAGCAGCAGGTCGCGTCGCTGGGTTGTTCTACCAGTTTGGGAGGTCGTCATTGTCCCACTAAACGGAGCTTGCCCTTTTGAGGGGAGGCCCTTTTTTTTCTTCTTTATCTTGCTGTTGCTCTGCCCTTCACGTAGCACCTTTGCCCACCTACAATGCGCGTACTTCGTCGTGCCGAATTTTGCCGGCTCGATCAACATCGTAGAGGCGACTTTTGCTGTGCTTCGATCACCGCTCTCGATTCGGGCTGCCCCAGTTAGCCAACCTTCGTGATGTGGTTATCAGTTCATTTGCGTACGAAACTGGCTGCTCTGCCCCGTGTCACTTTTGAAGTTCTGATACCATCTCTCGCCTCGAGCAGTGCAACACGTTCTATTGTAGTTAGGCTATGATGAGTAGCTGCCAGACGTTGCTGACCGAAAAGGACCGTACATTCGGGCGACACAAAAGACGTGAAACCCGGTATTATGCGGGACTCGTGCATCTACGTGCTACGTAGGGATCCACTGGTAAATACAGTAATAACAGCACGACCGGTAGCGAAATTGCTACGTGCGCAACTGAAATGACGAGTGCAGCGGCGTATGATATTCGGCAAGTCATAGATGAGGCGTTATTTGATTTTATTTCGATCGCGGTATTCTGTAGCTCAGTAATATGCTGCGATGTTGTTTTTTTTTGCAATATTCTTTTGACGCGGTCACTTCAATTGAGCTTCGTATCAAGATAGGGTGAATAAAGCAACAGCTGTCGTCTTTGGCTAAGGCGCACCTCTTAGGGCCGCAACGGGCTTTGTCAATCACTGCTCCACACGCACACAAGTACATGGCTGCAGCTGTACGAAACAGAACGGACTCAAAGGCCATTTTGCCTTACCGCAGACATGAGAAACGACAGGCGCACCGTGTTCCACTTTTCTGCACTGTTATTGAAGGAGACAGAATAGGTTAAGCATCAGGTGACGTCAGCGTCTTGCTGCTGCCATCGGTTTTTCACAGCTGGCACTCCGACGCGTTCCGGGGAGATGTGTCAGTGCACAAAATGTTTTCACTGACAAGCTTTTTTTTATTATTATTATTATTATTTCGACTGCTGCAGTTGTTTAGTCTCGTCACCTCGAGCGGCCCGTCCGCCGGCCGAGAGGCATTGCAGCAACAATATGCAAAGCTGCTGCTTTCGCTGCCATGTCTTCATCCTATGGTCCAAGCACCTCAGCTTCTTCTTACGCCCAAAAATGTTTGGACGCAAGCTGCACAGCGTTAGCAATCTCCCTTTTTAGGTGGGATTGAAATCCCTATAGGGGTGTCGGGGAGTTCCTCCCCCTTGAATATTTACTAAAAATGTCATAAATTTATGTTCCCCTGTTCCGACGCCGCTGTCTGAGAAAGAATGCTAGCCTTTGTTTTACGTGTGTAAATAATAACAAAAAAAGATATGCTGGTTTATATTATTGAATGTGTGTGGGGGAAGACTTCTGGTGTTATGTGTCCCAGGAACATAAAAGCTCCTATACGATGTTACAAGAACTTCATACCTTTGCTCACGATCGACTAATGTTTCCTTTAAAAAAACTAAAATCTCTTCGACAAATAGAACATTCGAATACAGATGGCTACCAGCTATTACGCGACAACGAAATACCAATTTAATAAAAGCTCGTAGTGAGTTATCACTAGCACACTATTTTTCTTGCACGGCCGGAGGAGCGGTTCGAGGTTTGACCCCTCTGTCTGCTATTGGGAATCTCCTGCAGTGTTACGCTTGTACAGAATGTCAATCGTTATTTTCAACGCCGCAAGTGGGTCCGACAAATTAATCTATGAGTGCACGCTCGAACCATCGTAGGGCTCTCGGCCCAACAATGAACCGTTTTTCAAAACCTCATCAGGCAACATTGGCTGTCGCCATTTCATTATATAAATATAATATAAACTAATAATATAAAATTATTAAAGAATCGGCTCAATATGGGGTTCATAAACATGCAGGGAGATGGAAACAGAATAAAGTGGGAGGAGATTGGTGAACAATTAGAGGCTGAAAATTTCACAGCGGAAACTCGCTTTAGATATGAAGAGTACATGCGAGGCTACTCCTAGACGGGATGCTACCAGAGGGGAGGTGAGCACAAAGGTGGAGGTCTAGGCATGTTAGTTAAAGTACAGGACTGGGAAAGAGAGAAGGAAAGCTGCAGAGAACAATTATGGCTGAAAGGTAGGGTAACAGGTCTGAACACCCTTCTGGGGTTTGCTTACCTGAAAACAGAAAATGACGCAAGGGAGGAAAATACAGAACACTTTACATGTATATCGAGGTACATCAGAGAAATTTACCTTAATCAGGATATAATTATCGTAGGAGACATGAATGCCCACTTAGAAGAGTTTGACGTATTCACAGATACAACCGGAAGGTTGCTAGAAGATTTCTGTGATTCCCTGGACCTAGTATTAGTTATTGAAAAAGTAAAATGCGACGGGAAAGTATCGTGGGAACGAAATAGTAGACTACTGTCTCATGTTCCACAATCTGTATGACAGGCTAAGAAGTATGGAATTACGTGAGGAAGATACAAAAAGCTTAGGGAGTGACCACAAGGGAAATAAGATTAAATTTAGCGCATCCGAACTCAGAACAACAAGCTCAAGAACAAACGGGTAAGCCGAAACTAAGTGAAGCTCAAATACAAAAAGTATCCAAAAGTATTGAGAACATAGTATCGAAACAAGCAGAAAGATAATGGATGTGTGAGGATTTAATATGAATTTTTAAAAGAGAATTAGGGAAGCATCGAATTAAAAAAAAGCAAAGCAAAAACGAGGACAAACCAGAAAGCTGATGGGATAAGGAGGTCAGAGCAGCCATATTGCGGCGCCAAGAGACGTCTAGGGAGCATACACTCTCAGAAAAAGGGGTGTATTCTTACACCCTTTGTCCCATATAATACACCCCAAAACTTCAGTTGAATGTACAGCGCACTGACGTCGATATGACGGTACTAACTTTCACGAGAGGCTTGATAGCCGAGTGGTACAACTTATTAAAATAGCTAATGGACATGTCACACAAGAAATAATAATCGGGGTTTTCTTGGCCCCACTGCAGAAGCTCGGTGTTTTCTTTCTGTGGTCTTTAATACATACTTTAGCTATTTAAGAAGTTATATCGCACCGTTATCAAGCCCCTCGTAAAATTTGGGGCCGTCTGTTCGACTATAGTGCGCTGTACGTCGAACTGAAGTTTTGGGGTGCATTAAATGGGACAAAAGGGTGTAAGATGACACCCTTTTTTAAGAGTGTAGGTGGGCAAAGAAAAGGGGAGCCTTGCGAAACTGAAGCAGCATCAAAATGGGATAACTTCCAAGAGCGGAAAAGGCTAAGATTGGAGTGCAGTTGAAGATGGAAATAAATTTTGGAAAAAAAAAAAAATAGGAATGCGGCAAAAAGTTTTGGGCCCACATTAAAGCGCAGGGGAGAAAGACTGAGGGTTTCCAACGCAAACTGATCATGCATGAGGGGAGAAGAGTAGAGGGGGAGAGGCACGGGAAAATATCAGGCGGACAATCAAAGAAGCTTTCTCCCAGCTTGAGCAGAGGGGGACTGTGGATAGCACTTACAGCAGCACTGCAGAGGAGGAGCAGAATTGTGTAACAATGGAGACGAACACACAAGATAATGGGGTAAGGCAGAAAGTAAGGTCCCAGCAGGTAAAGCGACAGGCCCAGACGACACATCCATTAAGCTCATTAAGACACTAGGAAAAGCAAACAAATTGAAGTTATGGCATGTGATTAATCAGATAATTATGGGAGGAGAGGTATCCAATGATTGAAAACTAAGTAAAATGTGACCAATATATAAAGGCAGAGGAAACAAAGGCAACATTAAGGCATCTCCCCCAATAACGGTAACTTCAGTTATATACAGATTAGCTATGCAGATAGTAAAGTGGAGGATGGAGGAATGGGCAGAGGATGTGCAAATACTGGGTGAGCTCCAAAATGGATTTCGAAGAGATAGAAGACTGGAAAAAAACTTATTCGTCGCCACACAATGTATAGAAATAGCAATGAAGAACCAAACTCGTTTGTGGTTAGCTTTTTGGGACATCAAGGGCGCGTACGATAATGTGAGTCAGGAAAATCTTTGGGGTTTGCTGAAGGAGTATAACTTAGATGCAAATT